GGTTAACAATGAACTTTAAACACTTTCTTAAAATTGTTTCCCCAAAGGAATTATGGGAGAAAAAAATGGTGCTAAATGTGATACTTTAAATGAAACATTTACTATAGATTATTGTCTCTTTAAAATCTCCCAAACTTTTAAAGATCAACCTGTGAGCTGTAGTTTCTACAGTGCATACTATGCAAAGCTGTATTATTTTAAAAAACTGAATAAGTAACATTTCATTTCTCACTGCCTTGGTGACCAAAAATAACAATCTTGTGTAAGGACATGTCAAACTAGTTTTAAGTACAAGACTGATTATGCTTGTCATCCATTCAGGTTCCTGAAGAATATGGGATCGATTGGAACGGACCTCACTGCCTTCATCGAGGCACTGTGTCAGTCCCCGAGGTTCAGCTGGCCCGTGAGCTCTCAGATGAAGAGGTTGCAATTTTGCCAGCTCCAGGAGTTTCTGTTACTGATGCACTTAGACTATATGTAGAGACTGTGGAAGTGTTATCAAGAATCTTAGACTGATGTCCAACCCATGTTTTTATTTGTTGTGTTAGAACAAGCAAGGAAAAACTGAAAGTTTACTTTCCTTTTAAAAGAAAGGAAAACAAGCTGTTTCTTTGAAGCTTCCTGTCTCATTATGGTCCACAGAATGACTAACATGAATGCTGTACTGTTAGCACTGAAGGTGCAGAACAGTTTGATTTTAGTAAATGGAAGAAAAAAAAGTCAACTACTGCACAGTGTGTTAATGTTTTCAAAGACACTGAACTTGTGTCAATTCATCTGAACTGTGTATGCATTGACATTAGGGCTGGGCAATATGGAGAAAATCAAATATCACATTTTTGACCTAACACCTTGATGTCGATATTGCAACGATATTGTAAGGTTGACAATTGGTGCATTCACAAAATATCTTCCACATTTAGATTTCGGATAAATAACTATCATATTGTGGATATAATGACTAAGTGGTAAAAGGCAAATAATAGAACAGCTAGAACAGTCTGGTAAGTTCAGAAAATGACATCACTTTACTGTAATGCAGCTCTCCAAGTCCTGAAGTAAGAAGTTCAGCTTTAAACAGTACGCTTGGAATTTTATCCGCATTGTGGTCAGCCAAACAACAGACAGTGTGTGTGTAGCTTCTTCGGCTAACTTGGACTTGTGCTGGTCGTCTCGTCATATTCCTTCTGGCTCCAATGATATATGGCGCAAAGAGCCTTGCTACCTCCGCTGCAACACAGAAAAACGTAACAGCTCAATGGTCACCAGTCAGCTAAAACAGCCTCTACTTCTATCTTGGGATGCTCAAGCCAGCTAACACCATTTAGCCGATTAGCGAACTAGCTAGGTTTATGCTTCCCCCCCATTAACAATAAACGTGTCACGCACGAAGCATCATAATACCGCATGCAAATACATGTTCGAGTCGATCTAATTTAACCTACACGTGTGTCCCGAATCATTAAATAGTAGCACACCTGGCTAACATGAAATTACTTAGCTTACCTTGGACAGGTGTACGTGATTGAGCGGCCGGTATCTGCTGTGACTGAGCTGCCGGAGTCACCGGTGCCGCGGGAGCCGTTGGACTTCTGCTCAGAGCTTCCTCAATCAAATTCGCTGCTTCTCTCAGCAGCTCCGGGCAACTTTTAGACATTTTGTCCTGCACCTCACACAGCGTCTCAACATTGGGGCTAGCAGGACCGAGTCTTCTCTTGATTTTTAGCCGTTGCAATGAAAGTTCTGTTTAACCGTGTAACTAAACCACCCAGTGTATTGGAATGTGTTCAGTAGCTCTGCATCAATCCATTATCCGGAATTGATTTGTCTTGGCTTGATGCAGAGGGTAACCAATCAGGCGTTAGGTTCCGCCTACCAACTTTTGATGGGTCAGTTTGACAGTTTTAAGTAATTCATGAATCACTGCAATGCAGGACCATGAAATGTAAATGTAAATAGTGAAATTATTATATATGTATTTTACATAAAATTAATCGGTATTTGAATTAATTAATGACACATTTAATAACACATTTATGTATTTAATTCTAATTTTAATTAATTAATGACACATTTAAGTAATTATTTAATGGTGTATTTATTTATTTAATTGTGGCACTTTTAGTCCTCCATAATTATGGCCTGTAATCCATGGTTTTTAGTTTGGATACGTTCTTATAGTCACTGTGGGGACGACATTGTCTATGCACTTATTGATGAAGCCTGTGACTGTTGGGGTAAACTCCTCAATGCTAATCGGGTGAATCCCGGAACATATCCCAGTCTGTACTAGCAAAACAGTCTTGTGGCCTCGCGTCTGCTTCATCCGACCACTTCTGTATTGACCGCATCACTAGTACTTCGTGTTTTTGTTTGTAAATAGGAAGCAGGAGAATGGCGTCATGGTCAGATTTGCCGAAGGGAGGACCAGGGAGGGCCTTGTATGCGTTTCTGTGGGACGAATAAAAGTGGTCTAGAGTTTTAGCACCCCTAGTGGCGCAGGAGACGTGTTGGTAGAAGTGAGGTAGGACGGTTTTAAGTCTCCCCGCGTTAAAGTCTCCGCCCACCAGGAACGCTGCCTCTGGATGAGTGGTTTCTTGTTTGTTTATGGCCCCATACAGTTTGTAGAGTGCCAGAATGGTGTTGGCTTTGAGCGGGATGTAGACAGCTGTGATAATTACGGATGAGAACTCTTGGTAGACAAAAAGGGTCTGCAGTTTACCATGAGGTATTCTATTGTGGTCCTCTGTAGCTCAATTGGTAGAGCATGGCGCTTGTAACGCCAGGGTAGTGGGTTCGATCCCCGGGACCACCCATACGTAAAAATGTATGCACACATGACTGTAAGTCGCTTTGGATAAAAGCGTCTGCTAAATGGCATATTATATCAGGTGAACGAAAGCTTGACATTTCTTTCCTTCATACCAGTTGTTATTTATGAAAAAGCATACTCCACCTCCTTTCAACTTCTCCAAAGCCGCTGTACGATCCTGCCGCTGCATGGCGAATCCACCCAGTACTACGTGCATAACATCATCATCCAGCCATGTTTCCGTAAGACATACAGTGCATTCGGAAAGTATTCAGACCCCTTGACTTTTTCCACATTTTGTTACGTTAAAGCCTTATTCTAAAATTGATTAAATAGTTTTTTCCCCTCATCAATCTACACACAATACCCCAATGACAAAGCAAAAACAGGTTTTTAGAAATGTTTGCAAATGTATTAAAAATAAAATACTTAAATATTACATTTACATAAGTATTCAGACCCTTTACTCAGTACTTTGTTGAAGCACCTTTGGCAGAGATTACAGCCTTGAGTCATCTTGGGTATGAGGCTACAAGCTTGCACACCTGTATTTTGGGAGTTTCTCCCATTCTTCTCTGTCTGGTTGGCTGGGGAGCATCGCAGCACAGCTATTTTCAGGTCTCTCCAGAGATGTTTGATAGGGTTCAAGTCCGGGCTCTGGTATGGCCACTCAAGGACATTCAGAGACTTGTCCCGAAGCCACTCCTGCATTGTCATGGCTGTGTGCTTAGGGTCGTTTTCCTGCTGGAAGGTGAACCTTCACCCCAGTCTGAGGTCCTGAGCGGTCTGGAGCAGATTTTCGTCAAGGATCTCTTTGCTCCGTTCATCTTTCCCTCGATCCTGACTAGTCTCCCAGTCCCTGCCGCTGAAAAACATGCCCACAGCATGATACTACCACCACCATGCTTCACCATATGGTGCCAGGTTTCTTCCAGACGTGACGCTTCGCATTGGTTTCATCAGACCAGAGAATCTTGGTTCTCATGGTCTGAGAGTCCTTTAGGTTCCTTTTGGCAAACTCCAAGCGGGCTGTCATGTGCCTTTTACTGAGGAGTGGAGCTCTGTCAGAGTGACCATCGGGTTCTTGGTCACCTCCCTGACAAAGGCCCTTAGTCCCCTCCTAAACTCTCTGTTCAACCACAACTGCGTGGCCAAGCACGACTCCAACACTATCATTAAGTTTGCTGACGACACAACAGTGGTAGGCCTGATCACCGACAACGATGAGACAGCCTGTAGGGAGGAGGTCAGAGACCTGGCAGTGTGGTGCCAGAACAACAACCTATCCCTCAACGTGAGCAAGACAAAGGAGATGATCGTGGACTACAGGAAAAGGACGGCCGAACATGCACCCATTCACATCGACGGGGCTGTAGTGGAGATGGGTCGAGAGTTTCAAGTTCCTTGGTGTCCACATCACCAACAAACTATCATGGTCCAAACACACCAAGAAAGTCATGAAGAGGGAACGACACGCCTTATCCCTCTCAGGAGACTGAAAAGATTTGGCATGGGTCCCCAGATCCTCAAAAAGTCTACAGCTGCACCATCGAGAGCATCCTGACCGGTTGCATCACTGCCTGGAATGGCAACTGCTCGGCAATCCGACCGTAAGGCGCTACAGAGGGTGGTGTATACGGCCCAGTACATCACTGGGGCCAAGCTTCCTGCCATCCAGGACCTCTATACCAGGAGGTGTCAGAGGAAGGCCCAAAAAAGTATCTGACTCCCGTCACCCAAGTCATAGACTGTTCTCTCTGCTTCCGCACGGCAAGCAGTACCAGAGCGCCAAATCTAGGTCCAAAAGGCTCATTAACAGCTTCTACCCCCAAGCCATAAGACTGCTGAAAAATTAATCAAATGGCCACCTGGACTATTTGCATTGACACTACTCGCTGTTTATTATCTATGCATAGTCACTTTACCCCTATCTACACTACCGGTCAAAAGTTTTAGAACACCTACTCATTCAAGGGTTTTTCTTTATTTTTACTATTTTCTACATTGTAGAATAGTAGTGAAGACATCAACGCTATGAAATAACACATATGGAATCATGTAGTAACCAAAAAAGTGTTAAACAAATCACAATATATTTTATATTTGAAATTCTTCAAATAGCCACCCTTTGCCTTGATGACAGCGTTGCACACTCTTGGCATTCTCTCAACCAGCTTCACCTGAAATGCTTTTCCAACAGCCTTGAAGGAGTTCCCACATATGCTGAGCACTTGTTGGCTGCTTTTCCTTCACGCTGCCGTCCGACTCATCCCAAACCATCTAATTTGGGTTGAGGTCGGGGGATTTTGGAGGCCAGGTCATCTGATGCAGCACTCCATCACTCTCCTTCTTGGTAAAATAGCCCTTACACAGCCTGGAGGTGTGTTGGGTCATTGTCCTGTTGAAAAATAAATGATAGTCCCACTAAGCCCAAACCAGATGGGATGGCGTATTGCTGCAGAATGCTGTGGTAGCCATGCTGGTTAAGTGTGCCATGCTGGTTAAGTGTGCCTTGAATTCTAAATAAATTACAGACAGTGTCACCAGCAAAGCACCCCCACACCATAACACTTCCTCCTCCAACCTTTATGATGGGAAATACACATTCGGAGATCATCCGTTCTCCCACAGCGCTTCTCACAAAGACACGGCGGTTGGAACCAAAAATCTCAAATTTGGACTCCAGACCAAAGGACAAATTTCCACCGGTCTAATGTCCATTGCTCGTGTTTCTTGGCCCAAGCAGGTCTCTTCTTCTTATTGGTGTCCTTTAGTAGTGGTTTCTTTGCAGCAATTCGACCATGAAGGCCTGATTCACACAGTCCCCTCTGAACAGTTGTTGAGATGTGTCTGTGACTTGAACTCTGTGAAGCATTTATTTGGTCTGCAATTTCTGAGGCTGGTAACTCCAATGAACTTATCCTCTGCAGCAGAGGTAACTCTGGGTCTTCCATTCCCGTGGCGATCCTCATGATGGTTTTTGCGACTGCACTTGAAGAAACTATCAAAGTTCTTGAAATGTTCCGTATTGACTGACCTTCATGTCTTAAAGTAATGATGGAATGTCGTTTCTCTTTGCTTATTTGAGCTGTTCTTGCCATAATATGGACTTGGTCTTTTACCAAATAGGACTATCTTATGTATACCCCCCTTACCTTGTCACAACACAACTGATTGGCTCAAATGCATTAAGAAGGAAAGAAATTCCACAAATGGAAGCTGGTTGAGAGAATGCCAAGAGTGTGCAAAACTGTCATCAAGGGTGGCTATTTGAAGAATCTCAAATACAAAATGTATTTTGATTTTGTTTAACACCTTTTTGGTTACTAATTGATTCCATATGCGTTATTTAATAGTTTTGATGTCTTCACTATTATTCTACAATGTAAGAAATAGTAAAAATAAAGAAAAAGGGCACAAACGAAAATGAAAGTTTGGTACGATCGGAAGGCCTGAAACCGCACTTTCGATGTTGGTGACCAAGTCCTGGTTTTGTTGCCCGTTCTGGGGTCACCGTTATAGGCTCGCTTTTCAGGCCCTTACCCCATAGTGGAAAAAAATGGTAATCTGGATTACATCGTCGCCACACCGGAGCACAGGAGAAAAACCTGGCTGTGTCATGTCAACATGTTGAAACCATACTTCACCCGCTATGATTGGGCGGCGAAGTTGGTGGAAACCGGTAGTGATGTTCTGCCTGTGGCCACTGCTGTCACCATGTGCCAGTTGGACGGTTTAGTAACTCAGAGATTCTAGAAAACCTTGATGTATTTTTGGCACACTTGTCTCCGGAGGAAAAAGGCGACATGGTTGCACTGCTTTTAGAATATCAGGGTTTATTCTAAGATGTGGCAACTCAGACAAATGTACTAGAGCATGACATTGACGTTGGGGACTCGGCCCCGATCCAACAACATGCCTTTCAAGTGAACCCTGAAAGAGAGAGAAGCTCCACAGTGAGTTGGTAACTTCCTCACGAGAGGAAAGTTAATACAGATATTGCAGGAGTTTCCCCTTGAAATCAGACATGTCCGTGGTAAGGACAACTTGGTTGCTGATTGTCTTTCAAGGGTGGGCAGTCAATACGTTTTGTGTTTAGCCAGTGTGTAGCCTTGGCTCACAATTTATTTGACTGCACGTTTTTAAAAACGTGGCGTTTAGGCTATGTTTCTTTTACAAAAAATAATAATAAACAAAGAGAAAAAAATATTAAGATTGTTGAAAAAAAGCATTTTTATATATACAGTATATTTACCAAAAAAAAGTGTTTTGTCTTGTACTGTCACGGATACGGCCGAGGCTGCCCCTCCTCCTCGTTCATGCAGGCTTCGGCGGTCGTCGTCACCGGAGTACTAGCTGCCACCGATCGATGTTTCTGTGTCTCACTAGTTCTGTCTGTATTGTTCACACCTGTTACCCATTAGGCTTATTAGTTTCCCTATATTACCTCTGTTTTCCCTCCTGAGTGTGTGCGTGATTGTTCTTGTTACGTCGTCTGTTGAGCTGTTGTTTTTGCTCTTCCCTGCGTGGAGGGTTTGCATTATTTACTTGGAGTCGAGTAAAGCCATTAATTCTCAGTTCTGTGTCCTGCGCCTGATTCCGTTTCCCCACTGCACCCAGACTCTGACATGTATTTAATTGTTGACAACCAGTAGATGCCATGTTTATATTGGAGAAGGCGACACATTTAAGTTGGTTATGTTGTGCAATGGAAGTTGTTTTCTGTTGGTGGTGAGCAAACTTGTCCAACAAAAATATAGGATATATTTGTTGTCTTAAGGGGGAAGGTGTTACAGGTTTAGTTTTTTCCATTTATGTTTTGAGGTTGGATTTTAGTGGCTTGCGAAAGTATTCACCCCCCTTGGCATTTTTCCTATTTTGTTGCCTTACAACCTGGAATTAAAATGTATTTTTTGGGGGGTTTGTATAATTTGATTTACACAACACGCCTACCACTTTGAAGATGCAAAATATTTTTTATTGTGAAAAAACAAGAAATAATACAAGAAAACAGAAAATTGAGCGTGCATAACTATTCACCCACCCAAAGTCAATACTTTGTAGAGCCACCTTTTGCAACAATTACAGCTGCAAGTCTTGTGGTATGTCTCTATAAGCTTAGCACATCTAGCCACTGGGATTTTTGCCCATTCTTCAAGGCAAAACTGCTCCAGCTCCTTCAAGTTGGATGGGTTCCGCTGGTGTACAGCAATCTTTAGGTCATACCACAGATTCTCAATTGGATTGAGGTCTGGGCTTTGACTAGGCCATTCCAAGACATTTAAATGTTTCCCCTTAAACCACTCGAGTGTTGCTTTAGCAGTATGCTTAGGGTCATTGTCCTGCTGGAAGGTGAACCTCCGTCCCAGTCTCAAATCTCTGGAAGACTGAAACAGGTTTCCCTCAAGAATTTCCCTGTATTTAGCACCATCCATCATTCCTTCAATTCTGACCAATTTCCCAGTCCCTACCGATGAAAAACATCCCCACAGCATGATGCTGCCACCACCAAGCTTAACTGTGGGGATGGTGTTCTCGGGGTGATGAGAGGTGTTGGGTTTGCGCCAGACATATCGTTTTCCTTGATGGCCATAAAGCTCAATTCTAGTCTCATCTGACCAGAGCCTTTTGGCAAACACCTTTAAGCAATGGCTTTTTTCTGGCCACTCTTCCATAAAGCCCAGCTCTGTGGAGTGTACGGCTTAAAGTGGTCCTATGGCCAGATACTCCAATCTCCGCTGTGGAGCTTTGCAGCTCCTTCAGGGTTATCTTTGGTCTCTTTGTTGCCTCTCTGATTAATGCCCTCCTTGCCTGGTCCGTGAGTTTTGGTGGGCGGCCCTCTCTTGGCAGGTTTGTTGTGGTGCCATATTCTTTCAATTTTTTAATAATGGATTTAATGGTGCTCCGTGGGATGTTCAAAGTTCTGGATATCTTTTTATAACCCAACCCTGATCTGTACTTCTCCACAACTTTGTCCCTGACCTGTTTGGAGAGCTCCTTGGTCTTTATGTGCCGCTTGCTTGGTGGTGCCCGTTGCTTAGTGGTGTTGCAGACTCTGGGGCCTTTCAGAACAGGTGTGTGTGTATATATACTGAGATCATGTGACACTTAGATTGCACATCGGTGGACTTTATTTAACTATTTATGTGACTTCTGAAGGTAATTGGTTGCACCAGATCCATACATACATATGCACGCACCACTTTTCCGTTGTTTATTTTTTAGATTTTTTTTTAACAAGTAATTTTTTTCATTTCACTTCACCAATTTGGACTATTTTGTGTATGTCCATTACATGAAGTCCAAATAAAAATCCATTTAAATTACAGGTTGTAATGCAACAAAATAGGAAAAACGTCAGGGGGGATGAATACTTTTGCAAGGCACTGTATAGCCCGTTAGCCCATAGGGCACACCAATTGGTCACCTCGTTGGTCAGTATGTGTAACACCTGTGCTGGTTGCCTTCTCGTTAGTGGGAAGGTGTTTCACCTGTGCTGGCCCTGGTGCTATTTAAGAGTGGCTGGCCCAGTGCTCTGGTTGTCTTGACAGATGCGGAAGGTTAACACCTTTAGTTGGCACACCCTATTTTGATTTCTAGACAAACAATCCTTTATCTGATTTCCCTGATTTTGTTTTGCTCCACCTTTTTGGTTTCCTTCCTGTCTTTAAGTTTGGTGTGGGTTTTTCTTTTGTTTGCCTCTTCTTGGGCAAATTTAGTGGGCGCTCATGGTGGGTGTCTTTTAGGTTCCAGTTGTTGTTGCTAGTCAACTTTCAATGGACACCCTATAAGTGCCTTTCATAACCCCTCCTAAAACCCCACCTGTTTTAGTTGTTGGTCAGTGACTCTTTGTTAGTTTTCCCTTCTGTTTGAGAGACATTTTTGCTGGGGAACGTAACAGACGTGATTGTTTATAATCTATCCAAATAGGGGTCATGAAAAAAACAACAAGCTGTACAGATCATTGTCATAATCTTTTAATCAAAACAGGATAAAAACATAAGGGTTTTCACAATTAGATCTATACAGTTTTGGACAATTCAACACCAGTCTTTATCTTACAAATACGATGACAGGCTATGAGGGGCACAGACACAACATAGAAAAGGCTAACCAGTTCAAAGGATAGGATAGATAAGTCTGATATTCATAGAGAAAAGTGTACAGTATTATTGAATGCAGGGAAAATAAACACTTAGTGTGAAGATCAATATGACAAAACTGCAAGTAAAAGGGATCATGTTTGATGAAATCTAATAAAAGAGAATAAGAATACAAATTCCCACCAACGGTCAATATAAAACTGTTTTAGAGAAAACATTGCCATCTCTGATGTATGTTGCTTATTTCAGCACCATTGTCAGCTCCCGCCATATTGAGTGCGCGATAAGAACATGTCCTGTGATATAACACATCTATAACATAGCAAAAACGACTCATTCCCCTTTTATGTGACTTGAGGTGAGATTAACAACATCTCTTATATTTGCCTGAAGGAGTTTGTTGACACCCTCACATCGGGGGAACACACTAGAAGAGGAGGATCTGGACTACCGATGCTCCCAGTGCTGGAACTTCCGTCTCCAAGGTCCCGGGCCACCAAATACTGTAAACTCAACTCGGACGACCCACCAGGACTGGAATCACCTCTGCTGACACAACCCCCCAGAACAACACACAGTTCCTTGAGATCGAAATTCTCCTTTACCAATCCGTCTTGCACTCGTTCCAAATCAGCCAGCTTCTTCAGATGATCACCCAAGTCCCCGCGCATCACTTTGGCGGCGTGGTGTCCAAAGAGTTGCCACTCTAGCGAAAGTGTTTTTACTTTCATTCGGTCGTCGTCCAGGAAACTACATACTTCTCTCAGTTCTTGGTTCTCCCCCTGAAGCCTATTATTGACTACTTTGAGTTCCCTGATTTCGAGTAATTGCTTCTGTAGTTGTTTATTAACTTCTTTAATTAACCGTCCTCGTTGTATAAGGGCTGTCCTCTTGTTGGCCTCCTCTTTGCGTAACAGGGCCACGATATATTTTTTGGAGAATGATAAGTCCTCGTCGGACATTTTAGATGGCTTTCGGCTGTCAATCTCGCTGTTGCTGCACATTTTGTCTTTTACTGTATAGGCGAGTGCGGCTCAATGACTATGCATGGAAAATATGCCGGTTTGTCAAAAAATAAACATTCATAAAATAGGTAATGGAATGCTTACAAGATGATGACTTAAAATGTTTGTCCTCATTTTTCCACGACGCCCTGATCCTCAACGCTACGGAGGATGTATGTTGCAAAACAAGCCTTTCCCCACATTGCCTCTGTCATTGTCATTTTCACGATACGAAGTGAAACGAGCGTTTTATGTAGGCCTTGCCTAGAATAATATGCGATTTGTATCGATGCCTCTTCTAAAGCGCGGGGGAAAAATGGCTGTTAAAAATTGCCGGTTAAGAAGAACATAGTTCGTCACCACTAATGTTGATGTAAAAAATACAGTATTTTCTCACTTTCGCCAGGGGGGCGCTCAAGTCTAGTCCACAGAAAATGCGCATACAGATTTTTGGAACAAAGGACAATGCCCAGCTCAAGTCACCTAAGAAATATATCCGTACTCAGTGTTTAGATTAGGCAAATATAATGGCAAACTATAGCCTACATAGGCCTATTTGTCTAGGCTATCTTATTATATATCCCATGCAGCGAACACGCTTAACTTCAGCTGTTTACATACAAACGTTGCTGATTTCAGCACGGTGGATAGCTCCATAATTTTGATAATTTCAGGACCACGGACCGTTCCATAATTTTGTTCATTTCAGCACCAGGGACAGTGCCCTGCGTGCCATTGAACGCTTCAAAGAACTCGTCCAGTCATACAGTATTTTGCTAGAAAACTTTAGAAATATTGTAACGTTTTTTTCGTTGTACAAATGATAAATATGCTATTGTCTTGTCATTAAATGCTATTGAAGGTCATGACTTGACCTGCTGACAACAAAAATCGGAAAACCCAATTTATCCACTGCAGTAGAGGGCAGTAAGTGTCTAGTATCAAATGTGCTATTCTCTAGAGATAGCCATCAAAGGGAAACAAAGTTGCGCTTTCTGTTGTGGATTTTGAGAGGAGACCCAATTACTTGTCAGCAGACACCTCTAGACATCTCTCAATGTCATTTACCTTTAGTTTCTATGCAGTTTTTAGTGTTCTTTTGAATGCAGGTCTATGCAAATTTGATAATCTGTTGTCCCTAATTCTGTGCAGAACCCGACGTTTTAACTTCGCAGATGCTGTTTACCCAAACTTAAGGTGCCTGCTGCAATATTTTAGCTGGCTACCTTTTACCCTCGACTTGACAGATACATAACAACTAATTAAAGGTTAAGTATCATTATTGTTAATCCCTTATGTGGCTATGTTACATAATAATCGTTGTGGTGTGAATACCCTTTTAAATGGGTCATCGATCACTGACTTTTAATGCCAGCTTCACCTAGAAACATGACACTCAGTGGATCAACTTTGCAGTCTATCAATAGTGAATGCCTCTGTAAGGCCTCATGTAAATAGGCTATCATTCTGATTGTGTACACACTCTTAAAAAAAAAAAGGTTCTGGATAGAACCAAAAAGGGTTATATTGCTTGCTTCATATATGGAACCCCTAAATTCCTCAAACTCAACTCTGGACCTCGAAACCAGTTCCACTGCATTTTTTCGTTGTTCCCCTTTAATCAGGGATTGATTTAGACCTGGGACACAAGTTGTGTGCAATTATTTATCAGGTAGAACAGAAAACCAGCAGGCTCCGGACCTCGTAGGGTAAGAGTTGAGTACCCCTGCCCTAAAGGTTCTTTGATCAGAACGCCAGGGGTTCTTCTTCACGGAACCAAAATTGGTTCCATATAAAACCCTTGAGTTCCATATAGGGTTATATATGGAACCCTTTTTGGTTCCATACAGAACATTTTTTTCCAAGAGTGTAGACTACTGTTTTTAGCTACTCAGCTACTAGACTTTCCTAAATTAACACTCTGCAGTCTTTTTTTGTTCCTCATTAGCTTACAAGATGTCTATGGAACTGGATGTGTTTGTGGGAAACCAACTATCATGGATATGGACATCTATCAGCTTTGGTTGGACGGCCTCACAGGTTTGTCTTTATCCTATTTGGTTGAGACTTTGGAATGACATGGATGTAGTGGTGACACTGCACTTTGTGACAGAGGAATTGACTGATTTTGCTGTATGATTATTACCTACATTTGTTTTGAAATCACACCACAATAGAATGTCAATGACCAGACCGTGACATAATTTAGGTTACATCCTATTGTCTCTCTCCCATGTCTGCCTTGCTTATCCTCACAGTGAGTTAATCAGTGAAGGTGCTGATGGATGAGGGGGCATTACTGGAGTGTGAAGTGAATGCCGAGGTTCTGACCAGCGATACCATGGACCAGTTCAGAACCTTCCAGATGTGTGAACGTCTCTTACATTTCCCCACCAAACTGGGCTACTCTTCCAGATCCCTGCCCAGCACCAGAGAATACTAATTGAAAGGTGTGTGTTCAATTCCATAAATCTTTATTGTTCCCAAAGCCAAGGACAATTTGTGTGCAAACAGAAATAGACACAGAAACAAATACAAATACTGTGTGTTTGTGTGCAGACGTGTGTGTGTGTGAGATGGAGAAGAGTTAACCAGCGTGTTATTATTTTCTGCAGGCACCATGAGTTTGACAGTGTGTTTGCCAGAGAGGTGCCCTGGGAAGAATTTCTCCAAAGGGACCAATAATGACCTGGATGACATCAGCTCTAAAACAGGGATCACACTGAAGAGCTGCAGGAGACAGGTGAGACTAACACAAACACCACCCTGAGAAGGGGCTGCATTAATATAGTGTGACTCCTGACTGTATTAACACACAACTCCCATCTTGAGAAGAACCTGTCATTCAAGAGCAGCTTAAATGCAGAAGGACAGGCCAGGACATCAGCTGGACACCACTGCTCTGTAATTTAATTATCTGTCCAGTTTAAGCACTGTCATGCAGCGATTTGCCTGCCAGCCATGGGGCTTTTAGGGTGAGGTCATGATTAGAAATACAAAAGTCATCTGATATAGAGCATACCAACACGAAGCACATCTCTGTCTGTCTGTCTGTCTGTCGCTCTCTCTCTCGTTTGACAATTTCAAGCGGTTGTTCAAGGTAGTGGAGGAGCTCAAGGGCCCCCTAGTGGAGAACATACAGCGTCACTTCTTGCTGTCAACACATTGGCAAGGTGGATACAAGAATAAAGTGAAGGACAGAGGGAGGAATAAGGAAGGAGAAACAGAAAGAGTGTAGCGAAAGAGATATGTCAACCATAAGTCTAGTATATATATTCACAGGAAATAACATACCTGTGTATTCCTGGGTAAATGTTATTGTGTGACTGTTTATAGACCATTTGACTATATGGTTTATAGAATGATGGATGATAAAAGGATAATTGCCTGTGTTCCTTAGGTTCAGGCCCTCCAACGTACTGTGCCTCCCTCTAACTTGTCTCTCTATCCCTCCAGGGACTATGCTGCCATTGTGTTCTTTGCAAACAGCCATTTTGAGACAGGAAAGAGGAAGCTGCAGTACCTCTCCTTCCAGGACTTTGCCTTCTGTGCAGACCAGCTCATCAGTTACTGGACAATAGTAGCAGTGGGTAAGATGCATCTCTGTTGATGTGACCAGTCATTGATGGCACCAAAGCATGCATAATGCTGCTAAATTTAGTAGAGAATGCAAGAAGACAGTCCCATGAAAAATTGTTGGCATAATATAAATAATTATTTGAACCCAAAGCTGTTGTCACAAACAATGCAGGACATATTCGGCTTTCTGGCACCAGATCCCATTAGTTTTTTTTGTCTCTGTCTCTTCACAGATAGCTTGATGGAGGATATGGATGTTGACTAAAATAAAGAGTTTCTGCATGAACTGAAAGATCTGAAGGTTTTGGTTAATGACAAAGACATGCTGGACCAACATAAAATGTAAGATGGGTGAACCATTTGTATGAAAGTGCTTGTGTGGGTTGATGTTGAGAGTTATAGAAATGATTCATCATTAATGTCTTTTCTGGTCCCCCTCTTGACTCGTTTCTCTCCGCTTCTTAGCCTGGTGTGTGCTTCTCTAAGGGGAAACATCTAAGTCTACAAGTTGATGGAGACTAACTTCAAAGTGAGCAACTGATAAGTGCTTCACAGACTAAGATATGTACATATCAGAGTTGGAGTTGTTTTTAACCAGAAGTTAAATACTATATTCACTATATTCAATAGTTATTTTCAACTCAAAAGTGTCTAAATAATGATAAATTAATAAGTTAAAGTAAAATATATCAAAGCTATATGGAACTACTGTGTAATATGAATCGAATAGTCTTACATTTCAGACTTTGATTCCTATTCAGATTGAGATGAACATCCCACATCTCTCCCCCCACTGAAACAAAACAATATGGATGGAATTTGAATCTGTTTTAAGTTGTACGAATTTATTTGTTGCTCTCTTTTTCTATCTCACGATCTCTCTGCACACAGAATCTTTCTAGAGTTCTGATAAACCTTGCATCTAAACACACAAATACCAAAGATGTCAGAGATTTATTCATCGACCTTGTGGCAAATTAACTTGTTATTTTATGTGACAATTACCTTTTTAACATGTTTCCAAAACTTGTAGTGAATTCCACTTTTTGGCATTATAGATTGTAGAAACAAATTTGACATGATCTTAGACATGATCTTAGACATGTATGTAAATAAACTGGCGTCATCAAAAGCTGCATCCTCCAAATGTACATAAGAATAAGCAGATCCCTGCACGTTGGTCTGGACCTCCTTATTGATCACGTTGGTCTGGACCTCCTTATTGATCACGTTGGTCTGGACCTCCTTATTGATCACGTTGGTCTGGACCTCCTTATTGATCACGTTGGTCTGGACCTCCTTATTGATCACGTTGGTCTGGACCTCCTTATTGATCACGTTGGTCTGGACCTCCTTATTGATCACGTTGGTCTGGACCTCCTTATTGATCACGTTGGTCTGGACCTCCTTATTGATCACGTTGGTCTGGACCTCCTTATTGATCACGTTGGTCTGGACCTCCTTATTGATCACGTTGGTCTGGACCTCCTTATTGATCACGTTGGTCTGGACCTCCTTATTGATCACGTTGGTCTGGACCTCCTTATTGATCACATTGGTCTGGACCTCCTTATTGATCACGTTGGTCTGGACCTCCTTATTGATCACGTTGGTCTGGACCTCCTTATTGATCACGTTGGTCTGGACCTCCTTATTGATCACGTTGGTCTGGACCTCCTTATTGATCACATTGGTCTGGACCTCCTTATTGATCACGTTGGTCTGGACCTCCTTATTGATCACGTTGGTCTGGACCTCCTTATTGATCACGTTGGTCTGGACCTCCTTATTGATCACGTTGGTCTGGACCTCCTTATTGATCACGTTGGTCTGGACCTCCTTATTGATCACGTTGGTCTGGACCTCCTTATTGATCTTTATTGATCTTACTGTGAATCTCAGTCGTCCCTCATGCATTTACGTAACTACCTCAGCCCAGTACAGTCCACTTCTCCACCTCTCCCTGATATTACCTAGTTCTCTCGGTCTCCTTCTGTCTCTTCAGTCCCCCCTATAAATATAATGAATGAACATCTTCTGATGTGCAAATTGTGATTTAAATGAAGTAAAGATATTTGTTTAAGAAAGATGTTTAAACTGTTTAGTAAATGTTTGTGAAAGTGTGAGGGTCTGTTTGTAGGTTATGTGTGTGTTTGTGTGTGTGTGTGTGTGTGTGTGTTTCTATGTGTGTTATAAGGAGGTGGTTAGCAGCAGGGAGCTACAGTTGGTCAGGGTTGTCTGGGAGGGGGGTTTGGGCCTGAACTGAGACTTTACCAGTGTTGGGGAGTAGTGAACTACATGTAGTTCAACTAGTAATTAAACTACATTTTGCAGTAGCTTGGTGGTAGTTGAACAAAATTCAAATCTTGGTAGTGTTTTCAGTAGTTCGTTTTTTCCATGTAGTGGTGTAGCTAACTACTGGAACTACACACTACTTTTTTAGCTAAAATAAAATAAAATATGGCTGAAGTAGGCAATCATTTGCTTTCTTTTTCGGCATCAGACCTGCCTAGTTCTCACTTGAAATATCGTTTTTGTGTTTAATAGTATAAATGACTACACTGTGATCTGTGTTCTTACAATTTGTATTCTACAACATTTCAGATTTACATATGATACTTTTTCATGAAGTAATTTGGATGTAGTGAACTACTTTTTCAAAGTAACTTAAGTTAACTAAATTGTATTTTTCTTAAGGTAGCTTTAGAGTAGCTTGACTTCTGCAAGATAATGTAAGGACTGGGTTTGATTGAATCCAGGTATGTCCTTTCCCTAGAGCGCAGTGTTTTAACCACTATGGCGACTACAGTGCCACACATTGTTCTGCACGTACTATACATAAATCAAGCATGAGGCCATTTGGCAGTCTACTCTGTCTTCCAGTGTGACCATTAGTTTAACAGATGAAAAGGTATGGGCCTAAATTGATCTATTTTACATAATGCAGTTCTGTTCAGGTCACCACATGGGAGAAACTGAACATGGCAAGCAATTCATGCACAGTCTGAATTGGGATACGTGCACATAGGACAAGTATTACTGTTTGTGCCACTGTCATACTTAACTTCTCTCTCTCTTTTTGTGTCTCTCATAGACTCTGGAATAGCACTCTGCTTCCTCTCTCCGTGTTGTTGGATTTTGCCTGTACATTTATGTATGACTGACAGAGGGGTTTGTGTGTGATTGTAATCGAGTGACTGCAGCATTTGTTTGTGTCCGCTACCTGCTCTCTGTTTGTTTGCTTGTGTGTAGGAGTGAGTATGCAGGGAACGTTTGTGTTGTTATGTGTGTGTGAGTCTGTCTCCTCCAACGTACAAAGTCTCAGTCACCTCCAGAAGGTGACGGCCTCACGGTAAGGATACAGTGAGGGAAAAAAGTATTTGATCCCCTGCTGATTTTGTACGTTTGCCCACTGACAAAGAAATGATCAGTCTATAATTTTAATGGTAGGTTTATTTGAACAGTGAGAGACAGAATAACAACAAAAAAATCCAGAAAAACACATGTAAAAAATGTTATAAATTGATTTGCATTTTAATGAGGGAAATAAGTATTTGACCCCCTCTCAATCAGAAAGATTTCTGGCTCCCAGGTGTCTTTTATACAGGTAACGAGTTGAGATTAGGAGTACACTCTTAAAGGGAGTGCTCCTAATCTCAGCTTGTTACCTGTATAAAAGACACCTGTCCACAGAAGCAATCAATCAATCAGATTCCAAACTCTCCACCATGGCTAAGACCAAAGAGCTCTCCAAGGATGTCAGGGACAAGATTGTAGACCTACACAAGGCTGGAATGGGCTACAAGACCATCGCCAAGCAGATTGGTGAGAAGGTGATAACAGTTGGTGTGATTATTCGCAAATGGAAGAAACACAAAATAACTGTCAATGTCCCTCGGCCTGGGGCTGTTGGTTAAGTAAGCATTTCACTGTAATGTCTGCACCTGTTGTATTCGGCGCATGTGGCCAATAAAATTTGATTTGATCTCCCTCTGCCTGGGGCTCCATGCAAGATCTCACCTTGTGGAGTTGCAATGATCATGAGAACGGTGAGGAATCAGCCCAGAACTACACGGGAGGATCTTGTCAATGATCTCAAGGCAGCTGGGACCATAGTCACCAAGAAAACAATTGGTAACACACTACGCCGTGAAGGACTGAAATCCTGCAGCACCCTCAAGGTCCCCCTGCTCAAGAAAGCACATATACAGGCCCGTCTGAAGTTTGCCAATGAACATCTGAATGATTCAGAGGAGAACTGGGTGAAAGTGTTGTGGTCAGATGAGACCAAAATTGAGCTCTTTGGCATCAACTCAACTCGCCGTGTTTGGAGGAGGAGGAATGCTGCCTATAATCCCAAGAACACCATTCCTACCTTCAAACATGGAGGTGGAAACATTATGCTTTGGGGGTGTTTTTCTGCTAAGGGGACAGGACAACTTCACCGCATGAAAGGGACGATGGACGGGGCCATGTACCGTCAAATCTTGGGTGAGAACCTCCTTCCCTCAGCCAGGGCATTGAAAATGGGTCGTGGATGGGTATTCCAGCATGACAATGACCCAAAACACACGGCCAAGGCAACAAAGAAGTGGCTCAAGAAGAAGCACATTAAGGTCCTGGAGTGGCCTAGCCAGTCTCCAGACCTTAATCCCATAGAAAATCTGTGGAGGGAGCTGAAGGTTCGAGTTGCCAAACATCAGCCTCTAAACCTTAATGACTTGGAGAAGATCTGCAAAGAGGAGTGGGACAAAATCCCTCCTGAGATGTCTGCAAACCTGGTGGCCAACTACAAGAAACGTCTGACCTCTGTGATTGCCAACAAGGGTTTTGCCACCAAGTACTAAGTCATGTTTTGCAGAGGGGTCAAATACTTATTTCCCTCATTAAAATGCAAATAAATGTATAACATTTTTGACATGCTTTTTTCTGGATTTTTTTTATTTATTCTGTCTCTCACTGTTTAAATAAACCTACCATAAAAATTATAGACTGATCATTTCTTTGTCAGTGGGCAAACGTACAAAATCAGCAGGGGATCAAATACTTTTTTTCCTCACTGTACGTCAATCTTCACTTCTCTTCCTTCTCATGACTTTTTCCTTGCTTACCTTATTCACTCTATCCCTTCTGAAAGCCACTTCATGCCTTTCTCCATCCAACATGTACACCTCTCCATAACAATGCCCATTCATTCCATATGTACCGGAGTCCCTCTTGTAATATTTATTATGTGCATGCATGCTATGGCACTTTAGCGTTGAC